TCCACGACCCCTCCTTCAATCTCCGAGATCCAAGGTTACTGAGCAACGACTTTTCACAAATCTAGATCAGATTTAAATAAAAGCACACAAAGAGTTTCAACAGCACTAAACAAGGAGTTAAGTTGTTGTTGTTGTTTTAAGATATAATATTAGAGGTACATTTTCTGATGTGTAGACCAACTTACTGTTAATATTCACCTCAATGCATACAAATGACTATAAGATATTCTTTGATGATAGATAAGCAGCTGTTTTTGAGTTTACATTTTTTTTGGGGAAATAATACAAGAGGCACATTTGCTGATTCAAAACTTGTATGTAACTTGTAACTCCCTCAGTCTAATGTTACAAACCTTAAGCAACTTTCTAGTTGGTCAAAGTTTGTTTTGTTTGTGGAAAGGAACTTAATAGTTGTTTAATTATATGTAGCCAACAAAAGAAAAGTTTAAATAATACATTTAAATTGAACCCATTTATGCCCGCGCCTGCACATTTAAAAATTGCTCAAAACAGCTAGAAAGTTATTTTTGTTATTCTTTAGTTTTGTTTGGCATATGGGACTTTTTTTTTCTTTATATTTTGTTATATTCTCAAGTTTCCATTTGAGAAAGAGTAAATATTGTATGATAAAAAAACAAATGTATTGGAGAAACTACAAAGAGCACAGACAAGTATTTTATCAAATTAACTCATTACAAGTTGAATACTTACATTAATTCACATATGGGCAGTATAAAGAGATATTTCATAAGGAAGACATTTTATAAAACAAGTCATCAGAAAATCCTGATAAATGTGTGATGTCTCATGTGACTTTAAAAAGTCAAAGATTTACTGTTAGATACTTGCCTACTGAAAGTATGTACAAGATTCTGAGAAACCTTAGAATTAAAAAGAGATGTGATAATGATAAGTCTGTGTGCCTCGCAACTTCAAAACAAACTACAAGTTTTTGCTCTCCAAAAGCAGGTGCAAGCCCCTGTGTCAGCAAGCATCTGCCTGACTGAAGTGCTGACGTGAACAAGATGCTAAATCCCTAACCAGCTCCAAGGGTGCAGCTGAGTGTGACCTCTGACCTGGCTGGTGGGAGCTTAATAGGAATACTTCCCCGTGGGGAACAAGTAAAGTGGTGCATTATTTGTATTGTTGAGAATGGAGTGTGGAGTAAATGAGGAAAAGCACCTGTTTCACTGGGTACCACATTTCGCTGTGGGGATGTGAGAGATGCTCTAGGGACCCAGCCTCCCCTCCCTGACTAAAAAGCACAACACAGCAGCACAGGGATGGGAGAGAAGAACTGCAGGGAAAGAAGGCGCCAGATAAGAAATCAGCCCAATTTTCCTTTAGTTTATCCAGTTTATGCTATTTTACATCCATGCAAAACATTAACATTAAATGTGTAAGAATTTTTCTCCAACATGTTAGCAACAGGGTCACCATCTAATTCCACCCCCCTCCCTTGGCAAAATAATAAAAAGTATAATTTTTGCGAAATAATTAATGAGATTATGCTTGTTAGTGACTGATAGCAACACCAGGTGTCTACATCATTTAAATATATCGATAGATGTTTGTAACCTATCATTTTTTACAATTCAAAATTATTTTTTTTGATTATTTTCATTGTTATTAAGGTTTCATCTATCTTGCTACTAGTTCAATATTATGCTGTTAAGAAACATTTTGAAACTCAGTTTGCCTATGAATCAACACAGTCAGGCAGCGCCCCCAAGTGGTCATTAAGTGGCAGTTAGAGTCAAAAGGCTGTGGAACCTCAGTAACAGTTATTACACTGTATTGTCATTTTAGTTTAATTTAATAAGTATTTGAGACTTTCTTGAGTTAAATATTTATTTTCCTTTTTGTCAGGTAGCCTACTATTCTAGCCCATGGCTCATTGAAAGCCATACGTTTTGTGACTAATGAAGAAGTTTTGGAGACGACCCCCTGTAGGAAGGTGTTATTTCGAATGCGTCTCCAGTCAACTTGGCTTCGTTTTGGATCCTATGACCTTGGATCATATTGCGTTTTCGTGTCCGATGTGCGTGCACGGGGCGGGGCACTGATGAACTCCCTCATGTCAAGTCACTGAGAGTTAGATTTCCGCTACGATATTTCAAATCAAAACGGGCTAAAGGCTTGTGTTGCTTTTGGGGAGTACTGGTGGCAGTGGCACCTTATTTTGAAAGTAGTCTTTTCTGCTCTTGACTCCTGCTTTACATCATGCTGAGTTCACGCCTGTTTTCAATAGGTGCACAAAATGAATGTGCAGCAAAACTGTCGAGTCGAGTTGAGGGAAAACAATTTTTTAATTTAAAATAAATGTAAGGGTGGAGATTTAATTTAATGCTTTCTTTCCTTATTTTTCTCTGGGGAACTACCCCATACATCCGAACTGTGAAACATAATCAAAAGGGTGTTTTTGAAGTTACATTCCCATTATTTTAATAAAATTGGAATTTATTTTTTGCATTGTCTGTAGTAAACATTACGCATGTTTTGGTGTGGAAATAATTACAAAGGAAATCACTGTGCATATGTCTCTGTATTTGTCAGGGTTTATCCCACCTAAATGAATGGAATTAATGTCAAGAAATGGTCTGTACTTTGTAGGATGACTGTAAACAGTTCACCATATTTATTTCCATTCAAGAACACGATAAATATAGATCATTTCTTTATTTTTGACCCACAAGTAAACGATTGGATAGATTAAAAAGATGTTGCCAGCAGAAATTACAATATAATACTTTACTTTAATTAGCATTCGATTAGATAACTAATACATTTATGTTTTAAAAATAATCAAATTCCACATATTGTGTCCTTTAAACGTCCCCAGATTTTCCATTTCTTGATTTCGGCAACATGGCGCACGTCTTGAACTTTAACATCGGAAATGTATTCAGCCTCGTCCAACTATTCGACTTAATGCATATCCATCACTCAAAATTCTCGCGATAAATGGCCCCCATATATAAGGGAAGATGAGGAGGCCTCGTCCACTTTGAGGGGCGTTGGGTTTCCTTGAGGACCTCGAGGAAGTTTCAGTCTAATATCTGCCCAGTAAAGATCCAACCATGTCGGACGCTGTGATAAGTTTCATGAAGGACTTTTTGGCCGGTGGCGTGGCCGCTGCCATCTCCAAAACAGCCGTTGCTCCCATTGAGAGAGTCAAGTTGTTGCTGCAGGTAAAATCATTTAACCAACAGATGCCCAAAGCATGCCCGCATCCTCAATCTTGTGTGCGTAAAGTGTGCGTAAATATGACATTACTGATAAACCAAACGCGAAAAATATACATTTAGAAAAGTTTGAATGGAAATTAAGCACAACTATGCACTTTGTAATTTAATCTGGTCTGGTGCGTAAAGTTAAGGGGCACGTGAGAGCCTCTGGCTCAGTGTGAATGCGCACAATACTTCGCAACGTTGCTGTGCCATGATTCCAATGACAACTTCTAAAATGTGTAAATAAAATGGCCATAATAGTAGTTTATGAGCTATTGGTGCGTTTATTAGGGTAATTATCACTTTAATGTAAAAGATGAGCTCAGTAATATTTATTTAAATTGTATTGCTAAATTTAACTTGAACTATGTAATGTAATACACAGCTGATTCTCAAATGACAGGGGCATGCATTCATGTAGGCTTCTACAACTACACACATTAAAGCCTGGCCGACTAAGATTATGTGAATACAATAAAGTATTTTAATTGGAATACAATACTATTTATTCTGTTGTTAAAGTGGAGTGCGACAACGTTCCTTTAGGCACATTTGAACAGGAGATATGAATCAGATTTTCAATGGGATTTTTTTTAATGTGCTTTCATTGTCTTTCCTTTAGGTCCAGCATGCCAGCAAACAGATTACCGCAGATATGCAGTACAAGGGGATCATGGACTGTATCAGAAGGATCCCACAGGAACAAGGTTTCATTTCCTTCTGGAGAGGCAACCTGGCCAACGTCATCCGTTACTTCCCCACCCAAGCCCTGAACTTCGCCTTCAAAGACAAGTACAAGAAGGTCTTCCTTGGTGGTGTGGATCAAAAAACACAGTTCTGGCGCTACTTCGCGGGGAATCTGGCATCTGGCGGTGCCGCCGGCGCGACTTCGCTCTGCTTCGTCTACCCTCTCGACTTCGCCAGAACAAGACTCGCAGCCGACATCGGCAAGGGCGCGGCTGGGAGAGAGTTCACCGGTCTTGGAAACTGCCTCACCAAGGTCTTCAAAAGCGATGGCTTCAAAGGACTTTACCTCGGATTCAACGTGTCAGTGCAGGGCATTATCATCTACAGAGCCGCATACTTCGGATGCTTTGACACAGCTAAAGGTGCGGAAGTCGCACATAAATAAGGTTTTTAACGAGTGTACATTGTGTATTTCGGGACGAGTTTGTAACTTTAATCTCCCCTCATACAGGTATGCTGCCAGATCCCAAGAACACGCACATCGTCGTCACCTGGGCGATCGCCCAGACTGTCACCGCTGTAGCTGGCATCATCTCATACCCCCTCGACACCGTCAGACGTCGTATGATGATGCAGTCTGGACGCAAAGGAGGTGAGGTGTCACTCGTGCATGTAGAACAATGTTCTCAGAGAGATGGATATGGTTAGTGTGGCGCAATTTACGCATGCACCCACATTATGTTTCACTACCATGTCTCCATTTCCACAGCTGACATCATGTACACGGGCACAATGGACTGCTGGAGGAAGATCCTGAAGGATGAGGGAGGCAAAGCCTTCTTCAAGGGAGCCTGGTCCAACGTGATCAGAGGCATGGGTGGTGCCTTTGTGTTGGTGCTGTACGATGAGATCAAGAAGTACACATAAGAGACTTCTCCCAGTCCCCAAGGAAACCCTTCACTTTGTTAAGGTTTTATTTCTTGTAATCGAGTGACAACATCTTGTGGTGAATTACAATGTATAGGCATGTACAGGTAAACAGTTGACCTGGGTTAACATGCCTCCTCAGAAATCTGTATATATCCCATCTGCAAGGCACAGACGGCCTTTCAGTGTGACAGAAGCCAGTGTTTCAGTTGCTGAGGTCCATGTGTTGTTATGTTGTGACCCCTCTGACCCATGAATTCAACATCACCTAATATTTTATTAATAATAAAGATTTATTAGTCTAATATTCCAGTATTTGTGATGCTTGTTCTGTTTCTGCAGCAACCCACCATCAGTTAAATAGGAACCTTTCAGAGCAGGCCATTTGACATATAGCAGAACAAGTACAGCCTTAATTAATGACAATAACAATGGCCCTGTGACTCAATAAGCCATGACAGTATGCCATCATGTATAATAACAGATCCCTGAGAATAAAACAGCTAAATACAATTTAGCCATCATCAAAACAAAATCCACAAACATATGCTCATACATCACCAGAAGAAAACAATATTAACCACCTGAAAGGTTTGTACCACAGCATTATTTTTTTTAGAACTTTTTTATAACATCAAGAGTACCCCAGAAATATTTGGAGTAGTTTCATCAACAACCAATCTATAAACCTATTGTTTGTTTCAATGTTGCCACATGGGATCAGTTTGTACAGGTAAGTTTTAGGAAACAAGAGAATATCATTGTTTTGGTCCATCATTCCCCAATTTAAAGTTGAAAACGAATTGCTCGATCAACCAGCTTAGTTTTTGAAGGCACACAATATACATAACACCAAATGATATTTCAAATAAATATTTAATTATTCTTATGTGCATTATAAACTGTACAAATATGAACAAAAGGGGGAAAGGAAGAAATACAGATGAAATGGCATCATCAATCACTGGAAAACAAGTTTATTTTTCATCATGGCTGTGTTCTGGTTTGGCTGCACTCGTTCTCTTTGTAAGGGGTACGGGAGTATCACCAGGGTCAGGTGAGGGGGAAGCTGCACTGGAGCTGTGGGGGACCGAACTGCCCGGCCTGGGTCCAGCTACTGTGAAATACAGAACAATATTTTCAGATTTTAGATTTACCGATTCATAACGAAATCAGAAGACATTTTGAGTCCAAATTTCTGTAGAGAAAAACAGATATTTGATCATTTCATCCATAAAGGGCCAAAGCAATCGGTTGCAGTACAGGTAAACACGCACAAGCACAAACATGTTTATCAGAGTCTGTAAAGAAAGCAAGCTGATGATGATTTAAAGTTGGACACATGAACCCAACAAGGATTTAATGTTAACACAATTTGAAAAAACAGGAAAAAGTATTAACAGATACTCAAATACGTTTTCTATGAAAATAGCATTATCAATTCATCTGTTATTAGATAATGTATAAATGGGTGATTCTTACCAGTGTCACTCGTCAGCTGCTTTTTAATGTCTGAAATTCTTCTTCTGTTAATTAAATCTCTGCAGCTATCTGAAGGCAGCAGCACGGACATGCGCCATACATCTGCAGCTTTCATTCTAGGAGAAGCCTCGCAGCGCAGTGCCACATGCTGATCCTCTTTGTTTACCTTGATTAGATCATCACATGCATACGCCAGCAGGCTGCTACAAAACCACTCCTGCTGGTGTCAAACTGCTCTTGTGGGATTAAAACACTCAGTGGCAGCAAAGGTGTGCTTATGGTTTGCAGCTTCCTCACGAGTGTGTCTGTCTTTAAGTGATAAAAACATCTCCTAGCCCTCGTGTTTTAGTCCTAGATACTGTGAGATGGATAGTCCTAATATGGCCAATAAGGCACGTCCTTGTTATTTAAACTGTTTCATATCAGTTTGCGGACCTTGTATGAGCAGGTACTCAATCACCATGTTCTTATCCTGTTTAAGGTATCTAACATATCATTTTTAAAAGTAGTAAAAGGCAGATCTGGACCAACATTAGCTACCTGAGGGCGTCTTGCTGGGAGACTTCTCTTTCTTGTGTGTGGACGTACACATTGGGTATGATGAAGCTCCCAAGTATGCGGCTTGTCGCTGGAAGTCCTGCAGTTGTTCTGAGCGTTTCAGGCCAGGTGTCGGCTTGGCGGTCTGCAGCCTCTTCAGGAAAGCCTGAACCAAAACACAATGACATTAGTTACCTGGTGATTCATACATGCAGTACATTGTCATTATCTTGGCAAACTGGTAAAACAATTAGGTTTAACGTTGGTACTTCAGGATATCAGACAGGTTCACTTTGGAAAGATTTCAGCATGTGTAAATGTGGTTTCGTTTTTGTAAGGAATCAGAATCAGAAACGGGTTTATTGCCAGGTAGGTTCACACGTACGAGGAATTTGACTAGGTGTCGTGGTGCATACATACAAATTAAAAAACTAAAATGTAAAAAAGAACACAGATAGTGAACTATATTAAGAACACTGTAATACAAATATAGTAAGATAGCAATACAATAAAGCAGTAATTTATATTGAAATAGAATACAACAAGTTATAGAATATAAAATATGTGCAGTAAGCAATATTGTCAACATTGTGTGAATGTATTAATTACTGTGAAGTGCTTTATTATACATAATTAAACACAATTAGATTTTGTATAATTAAAAAAGGATGAAGAGACCCTCTTAAGTATTTTGTTCGAACAAATGCATAAAACGCAGCAGGAGTTTTATGTGAATGATAAAACATTTTATAGCATTTGATATATTTGCCCAAATCTACTCACATTTGTTTTGTCTTTTAACAAACAGGACTTCAAACACATTTATGAAGGGTTTATTTATTTTGCATATCCCAAGCATGATATGATCATAGAAAAAGATCTGGTACTTCACAGCAAACACAATCAAACAGCATGATGCAGAACAGTGTAGGCAAATGGCTGAATGTCATACGTGCAGTCACCCTCCCACGTGCATGCTGTGCAGAAATCTCTCAGTCAGCAAAAATTCCCCATGAAGCAACAAAGCTAACAAAGCTAACAAAGTTTACAAAGTCCACCTGAGGTGATACAAATGCAAAAGTGAAGACAGACTGGTCACTAAATCAATCACTTGTTTGAGGATATATTGTGAATTTGAACAAACTTGAACCACTTACTTCTCTTACTTGATGTGTGGGGTAGGGTGGATACACTTAATACAGTGCAGATTTAGTTACTTCGCTCTAAGAATAGAGAAGGCGAAAAGCACTTCTGACAACGTTGAGACATAGACGCAAGGGAAAGAACAGTCTGTCCTGAAGATGACTGGAGCACATTCCCTGATAAAACATCACTCAGCAATATGGGAGATCTCAAACTAATAATAATAATAATAATAATAATAATAATAATAATAGCATGAACCACAAGTGGAGAAAATAATGCTAGTGTTCTGCCTACACTTGTCAGAGCAGACGATAACGCCGTGCTTGATGTCAATTATAATTCTCAGAATGATCTGAACACTGCAGCTGGTTTGCTTCTATCACAATGTGGTTAAGCAGGTCATTTATGGGGTGAGAGCGCACTGTGTAGTGAAAGGCCAAAGCTGCAGAGGCTGAACCGTCTTTTAATGTCAGTGTGAGGCGCTGCCGGCCGGCCTGCCACCTGCTGCCATCTGTCCCAGTCCATCAGTGTCTTCTTTCAGGGGGGTGGCACTCTTACTCCGGCACTAACTCACCCTAACTAACTACAATCTTTAAGATAATATAAACTTCAGGAGAAGAGTATGCATTAAAATAATGATGTAACAGACATCCACTTACAACAATATGGTACTCAATGTTATGCTTGTGAATAATGACTTGAACTTTAACCTGCAGATTCTAAAGGTTTTCCTTTCTGCTTTTCAATTAGTGCATCATGTACAGTACTGTGAAAGAATTCATTCAAAATAAAATGTACTGAGTTGAGTCTTACAAAATGTGTAAAGATGCTGTAATAGATTAATTGTGGGGTGTTATGGAAATTAACAATAGATCATTTAAGAAATGAACCGCAGTATGTTCTTATTGACAGCAATGAATGAACAGTTGAGAACAGAGCCAACAGCAGCTTTGCTCATTTCAGCCACTTTGGACAGACGGTATGTTTTAAATGAGAAATCTGGATTTTTGCCAATGTAACCTACCAACAGATACTAAAGCATTTTACATTTTTATTTCAGAATTGTTTTAATTCACCACATGATTCGTTTTCACTTTTTGTATTCACACTGCTCAAGGCAAAAGCAAGAGTGTATACAGCGAATGAGGTTGTAATGAACTTTAAAACATTTCGTGCTACTTACCCGGAACAGGAGAATCTGATAAACCAAATGATGATGTATATCTCATTACATAGATGTTGTAACATTATGAGCATGAGGTAAACGTCAACAACACTGATCTACAGATAATAAAACCACCGACCTAAAGAGAACCTTCTTTCAAAACTTTACTTTAAAGAGCACTGAATAATTTATCTTGAAAAGCAAAAAAGAAGAAGCTTGCCTTGCCATTTAAACTAATGTTTAGGGTTTAGTGTTATTGTAAATATTGAAATGAGTATTGACCCCCAGAAGCAGAACTCACCAGGTTGTCCCTCTCGATGCGCTGCTGTTCCCGCTGCCTGTTCAGTGCGCTGTGAGAGAGTCGGATAAACGCCGACTTGCTGGCCGGATGGGCTTTCTTCCTCGCGCTGCTTCCTGGTCTTGGTGCTGGAGAATGGCGCGAGATCTCCCGAAGAAGACGATGGTTCTCCCGTTCTATACGTTGAGCCTCATCATTGCTGAATGAGTAGTTCTTCCTGTTTCTCCGTCCAGGATGGTGGAAGACCAGTTCACCTTCAAGATGGCTCTCTGTCCTGAGGGAGCCTGATCAATGAAAAGAACAACCGTTACAGTTTCTTAATCTGCATTTTAAAACGTTTTATTCAATGTTTTGCTTTATGTAATGTTTTAATAGATGTTAATCAAAGGTGAACCAGGTGCGATGGGTTACAAATAAACTACACTGAAAAACGGAATCTACAAACTTAAAAAGAAAAGCCACATTTCTATAGCATAATTCAAAGGGTTGTATAATAATAATAATAATACATTTATTTTGGGGGGCGCCTTTCATAACACCCAAGGACACCTTACAGGGCATAGGGGCAATATAGGGAACAATTAAAACAGTGGATTTAGTGAAGTATCAGCCGGGGTAAGACAAGACAAACAACAGGAAATGGACTATAGAAGGACACAAAAGGACACAGGGTACAGATTATAAAGAAAATGCCAGTTTGAACAGGTGGGTTTTGAGTTGGGTTTTGAATGTTGTTATGGAATCAGACTGTCGGATGTGTAGTGGCAGGGAGTTCCAGAGTCTGGGAGCCGAGCAGCTGAAAGCTCGAGCACCCATGGTTTTGAGGCTTGGGACGGTGAGAAGTCCTATGGACGAAGAGCGGAGGGTGCGGGAGGGGGTGTACTCCTGAAGGAGGTCGGTGATGTAGATGGGGGCAAGGTTATGGAGAGCTTTATAAGAGAGTAGAAGGTTTTTGTAGTCAATACGGTAGCGTACAGGAAGCCAGTGTAGCTGAGTGAGAATGGGGGTGATGTGGTCGGATGAGTTGGTGCGGGTGATGATCCGGGCAGCAGAGTTCTGGATTATTTGCAGTCTATTGAGGAGTTTGATGGGAAGGCCAGTCAGAAGTGCATTGCAGTAATCAATCCGGGATGTGACGAATGAGTGGACCAGGATTTCAGTGCTGGGTTGGGACAGAGATGAGCGGAGTCTGGAGATGTTCCGAAGATGAAAGAAGGCGGTGCGGGTGATGTTTTTTATGTGTGGTGCGAATGAGAAGGAGCCAGAATGACACCGAGGCTTTTCACTTGGGCAGCGAATGGTATGGGGAAGCCGTCGATGATGATGTATACTTGTATAGACATTTTGAATAACTGAAACAACATTTCAAAATGTCTAATGATTAAAGTATTATAACAGGTAATACAGTATAATACTAAACATGCTTAGTGCAAATTATTCCAGATGTTAGGTGTGAGGAAATATAGTCTGTTGATGTTAAGTATAAAACTATTTCTGTTATGTTATAAATAAGAAGTAAAGTTACCAAATCTGAGAGTAGCAACAATGTTATACATAGTCTGACATAGTTCACCTCTTTGGTCTTTTACACTTATTTGAATCAAACTACTTGAGAAACATTATTCACTTATTTTTATGATATTTTATCAAAATCCTGTCCACACTAAGGCGCTTACTAGCAATAAGGTGTCACTAGAAGTGTTATTTAAGTACTTTGTCATTTGTCACTTGTCATTAAAGTAATTTTAATAGCTTTTTTTCTTGCAAAAATGTCAGATAATGTGGTTTTAAGCCTCTCAAATGAACGCTTTCCTGAGTTTCTCTGTTTTAAAGCATATTAAACTGAGAATCTTTCGATCTTGCAATGCCAAACAAGATATTTAAAGATAACACATTGGACTCTTTGAAACTGGGATGAACATTTCTTTCTATTTTCTAAAATGTTATGGGCCAAACAACTAATTGTTAGTTTTTGCCCTTGAGGTAGGTAGATATTGCTTAATTTAAAAAAGGGAAATACAAACAAAAAAAGCCTGAGCAGTGTTAAAGAGCACAGCAAACATGTTTACTCACACTCGTCCACATCCTGGTCTGAGTCCTCCTCCTGATGCATGTCGCTCAGGCCACTGGAGGGCACCCTCTTCTCCTTCCGCTGCTCTTTAAGGCTTCCCTCTGTGTGATTCAGGTCCAGCGACTGGAGAGGGCTGGTGTCAGGAGAGGAGAGGCGGCTAACATTTGTCACTGTACCCTCTGACTCCTCTGTACGGCCAATAGGAACACGCCGAGATCCTGCTGAGCCCCCTCTGGTCTTACCTACTGCAGGTGTTTTGTTGGGCCTGGGAAGGGTGCGTGAATCTGGACTGCTTCTCCTACTGCTACTTCTAGAGGAGCTCTCTGAGTCTGCACCTGCACTGCTTTCACTGAAAGTAGGGGATGTACGCCTTTTTGAGGGCGTACTGCCATCATTGAGTACTTTATCCAATGGTATGCTGGGTTCCATGCTTTTATCTTCTCCCTTTAAATGAGAGCTGCCTTTTGTATTTTCAATTGGTTTTGGTTGTAGCCTCTCGTGTGCTGGTGGGACCTCCTTTTCAGCCTTCCCGCCTTTCTCCAACTTTTCCCCTCCATCTTTGCTGGCACTAGTATCTTCACCATCACTGTCGAAAAACGAATGGTCCACTTCACCTTCTAGTTCACCGGGGCTCAACATGGCAGTCCTCCCCAACAAACTGAACCTGTAAGGTAGTGCATGATGTTAGTATTTAATGTATTGCATTGTATTTGTTGTCTACGTTTCAAGCTGCTAAGGGACTGGCAAGGAGCTAGTTGCTAAATCTGGTACAATGCATCTCCCCTCCTTATGCTGTTGTATGTAGCCCTTGACCAATAAATACAATAATAAATTAAACTAACATTAGAAAAAAGGCAATTCAGACTTGATGCTATTTGTTATATTGGATTATACAATATACAATATATCTATCTATATAGCAGGTTTCAAAACATTTCATATTGACAAACCATAAATGCAAAACAATGGATGTAGGATTAATACATCTCAGAACAAACAACTCTAAAAGATGCATTAAAGATTCAGCAAACATTTAAAAAAGAATACTACTCACGACTAGTAGTTAAGGTTGTAGCTAAAACTAAAACATGTGCATGTTACTTGCATGGTGTAGCATTTTTGGAGAAAGACTGAGGTTAAGGTACTGTAACAAACTACACTTTACACCGTAAATCTATTATGCACCATGGAAACGCATGTTTTAAACCTGCAACATGTTCCAAGTGTGATGCTAATTTATGTAGCTATTGTCAAACTATGGATAGTATACGTGTTAGCTACCTTTAGCTGTATGACAAACCGCATCTTACCTGATAAAGGGTCGCCCGGTAAAAAGTGGTTCGTGTTACAGTTGCATTAACCTCGTTAGAGAGGGTGTACAAAGATCAGGAGACAAACGAATTAAACGCAAAACCGCATTAAAAACAAATCTTCGTTAGCGTGCTTCAGCTGGCTGCTGTCAGCGGGACATGGTGCCTAGTAACCAGGTAACGTCACTTCCTGGCAACGACTGCTCTCTCGTGCAGCGGTCTCCAGGAGGGTTTTAAAAAGGTTTCTTTCTTTCTTTTATGTAATTTGTATTACTTTATAGGTCTGTCCCTGGTTTGAATTGTTCGTTTACAATATATATCATGTTCATATATCCTCTTGAATAAATAAAGGAGAAAAAAACAAAAAAGGTAGTCTATTTTAAAGAGATTTCTCACACAGAGAGATTTGAGTTCCTTTATTTTTTTTTAAATATAGAAAAGTATGATGGAATGAATCACACTGGGCATAATTATTAAACTTGCTTCTGTATTTGGTTGGAATAATGTTTTTATTGGTATAAAGACTAGGAAATGCATTAAATGTATGCTGTACTCCTTTCAACACAGATGAGAAGACAACTCTTTTTTTGGGAGTTTACCTTTAAATACTTTTGTTTGTTTGTTTTTACTGGTGAAACGCCTGAAAATGTATGTTTCAAACTTGTTTTCTTTTTATTAAATTCTATATACACTCTATATAAACCAGTACAGTTTTCTTTGTAATGATATCCAAACGCTAATTTATATATACCATTTTTCTTTCATATTTTTACTGTACAATGTTCTAGACTATATTTATGTTTCTTTAATTTAGCTGATTATTTTTTATTTACCAAACCACCAAGACAAAACATTTGTTTAAGTCTACTTGGCAATACAAAGTCTAAAGGTATAAATTCAAAAGTATCTGGTAAACTAAGCAACTCGAAAGCACAGTATACAGAGGACACTATATTAAGGAGTAACCACATTAAGAAAAGAAAAACACAGCAGTGATTTCTCTGTCATCTAAAGGTTTAAACTATTGAAACATATCTAGAATCAGAACAAGTAGTGGAACAGACAAGAGGTCATCTAGTTTTTCCTTGGAAATCTATTATGCCAAAGTAACTGCTCCCCCTAGTGCATACCCATTAACAAGAAAGGGGATTATCTGAAGGCGCGTCCCCTGACATTATAATTTGTCACGGGTTTTCTCTTAATAACATTGTTAGAGCTAGAAGTGACACACACTAATGAAATTCCAATATCCTAGCACAATAGGACTTGGGTGAATCTATCGTATAAACCTGTGTCTGGTCACTGTCATAGAATTTACATGCCTATGCAGGATGGGTAGAGATGGGAATTGAATGGGGGTTCATTCTGTGGCGTCCCGTACTACAATCAGCCAATGGAGAAGAAATCACAAAGAGTGACAATACGTCTCTGAAAAATGAACTGTCTGGTCTACGCTCAACAGATTTTAAAGAAAATTCAACATTTTATTATGTACTGTTGAGAAGAGGAAAGCATCCATTTGACTCTGACAACTGGCTGGTTATGAAAACTCAATTACAGGGACTGATTGTTTTCTAATAATGGGCTGTGTCAGACATGCTGCATTCAGGCACAGCTTCTTCTCTACTCAAGTTGTTCTTAGAATAAGACCAAGGGCGCCCGGGGGTCCCTTAATGTTTCCAGAAGGTCCTCAGCTAAATGAGGATTAGTGTAATTTCACTGCAATATATTCACTAGCAAAGATATTTTATTTATTTCACTAATTAATACAAAACAATAATCCTTCAATTTAGGTGTCAATAGAAAAACAGATATTTGTTTTTTATTTGTTTTGGTTGTCTGTAATAGGGCTGACAAATAACTATTATCTTATGTCTATACAATTCAAAAGTAAAATAGAGAATCTTCAAGGTATCAAATGTGAAGCTAGAATCACATTTTGATCATCTCTTGTTTTACTTAGAAACAAATAAATAAGGAATTAAGAACAACTGATGACAAAATGTTATGTACATTTAAATAATTTATAAAATCAGTCATTTCTCTACTGTTTTATGCACTGGTAAGAAAGGATCAAACTTTGTTGATTTTGATGAATTGTATACCGGATTTAATGACCCTATCTGGTATTCATATTTGCCTAGCCTTTTTCCTATAATGGCAAGTACAGAAAGTAGATTACATTAAATAAATCAATTTGTTGTTTCAATACGAAATTACATCCATCTTTAGTTCTTCCATTCGTGTTAAGACAATACTTTATGTAGGATATGACCAAAGCTATTCAAATGAATTACATTACAATTTAACATCATTACAGAAGTGACTTGCAAAGCTGGAAACATTTCTGTAAAAGTAGCAGATAATAGTGTCACTCTAAAGTTTCACAGATGCTTTACCAATGTTAGATGATGCCCGTATGAAAGGCTATGACAGCTCAGATGACTTTTGGCCTCTGAGGCAGACACAGATTATAATAAGCAGTTTGGTCCCAAAAATCTGGTCCTTTCCAGCCACACCAGCCCTGGGAAAGATAAGATACCAAAAATCAATACAGCACATTATGTGAAAATGTGTACTTGACAGAGAGGAATGCAGCCAGTGCAGATGCTTGTAACAGTTACCTTGTCTGTGATAACCTGTAAGTCCTCCGCTCCTGTGTAATGGGGATCAAGGATAAGATAGCGGATCTGTCCAGTGGTCTCACTCCATGCCACACCTAGAATAGTGTGAGCTAACACTCCCCCTCCTGCAAGACAGGAACAATAATGTGAAAAAATACATTGCAATGATCTCATGAACAACAAGATCAGACAATAAAATGTTGCTTAAAGGTCCCATGTCAAGGCCATTTCTACTGATCATAATTTCATTGTTGAGGTCAGGGCTCGAGCTTAAGGACGTCCCGTCGTCGAAAAAAATAGTGTCGGGGAGGATAAAAAATAATTTTGGGACGAATTTGGGACGTAGCTACAGCTGTGCCGCTGGCTGTGCCCGCGAATTCGCGGGTCTAGCTACAGTATGTACTGATTATGTGTATTTCGCAGGTTGATTGATGTACAATGACAATGGTATCCCGTGGAGGAATTCTGAAATGTTTTACCGTTACATCACAAAAACGCACAGCAGAACCAGACCCTGGAGCGCCGGCCTCTTTATTTACTTACTCCTCTTTATCCCCTATGGGTAATAAGGCTGAGATGAGAACCCTCCATCGTATTTAGTCCTTAGCAATATGCTGCGCCTCTCCCCATGTAGGGATGGGTACCGAGCCCCGGTATTAAACGGGCTCCGCCCGGGCCGGAATTATTAAAGACAGTGGTAACGTTAAGCTCCGACGTTATCTGACTTTTTATCGGTACTGGAGACATTTAAAATATATATGTCATATGTATTATTGCTACATAAACATTATATCGCAGTTTTAGTTTAGCCAACTCCGTTTCTAATATGCAATAAGACTACAACATGCGTCTATGATGTATTTTCAAGCTTTCCAATCGAGACGAGATCTCTCTCTCCGGTCTGTGTGCGAGGGGGCGGGGCAGTTTGTAAAGGTCTCCTGACTGTGTTACAGACTGGTTAGTGGTTACTCTGGGTTCTGTCTTCAGGACAGAGTGTTGTGTTGAGTAATTTTCTCGTTTGTGTGTTTGTTTAAATATATTTGGCCTTTGTTCATGTGATTGACTGATTTACTCAAGTAAAAATGTGATGAATTATCATCTAATGATTTGTATGATGTTTTATTTATGTTAAAGGTCACTTTGAATGATTTTAACTAATGATAATGTAGAAAAACTAATATTTTAAATTCGGGACGGTCCACATTAATTTCGGGACGGCTTAGATTGTATTTCGGGACGGTTCCGGGAGGATGGTGAAAAAAGTTAGTCGAGAGCCCTGGTTGAGGTCTACTAGAATATATTTATATTGTGCAATTTTCCAAACTCACATTGGTTTCTCATACAGCATCTCTGTATAGTATGTGTATTCACTCTGTCCTAAACAGCTTGTTGGAGCTCCTGCCCCCCCCTCCCTTTGAGACCACTGTGCTCTGATGAGTCCAGTAATGACAAACAGATAAGAATGCTGCGTGGGGTCTGGGTGCTGTGTTGGCGGGACGTTGCGTGGCTCGCTGCTGCGAGGAGCGGACAGTGTGAGCTGGGTTCATTTCCTGCTTGCTGCGTGGGGTCTGCGAGACAGCGAGACATCGCGAATGGATGCGGGAAGGAGGGGGTGCTGAGGGGACTGCAGCACCCCCATCTGCGAGGCTCCACTAGCAACCACAATTTTAGGTTCAATTATTACTTTTTTGACCAGCTATAAACTCTATGTTGCTAAAGAGTCAGTGTTAATATTGCTAAAGATGAAATTATCTGCCTGTATATGGAAATATATACACAAGTATTTTATGGTTTCAGTTTTTCATGATCAGTTTATGTAAAGTTTTGAAATGTTTCAGATATCCAGCTTACCGATCATGATGGGAGTCCCTTCAGTCAGGAAGTGGTTGGCCAGTTCTCTGCCCTTGGATGCCAACTCAGAGCCTTGACTAAAGAGTACAAACATTTATCATCAGATGAGTCCAAGTCGTGTTGAATAAAGTACATCCTCATACAATGGGTTATCCATAGGATTCACACAACACACCTCACAAACATGATCTTTGAGGTGACCTCCAGCAGCTGGTTCAGAACAAGCTGAACCTCAATGGAGCCGATCCACTGCCGTGATCCAACGAAGGAGCCCTGTTTGTCTCCAACATCCACTAAAGTCTGGAAAGTTGAAAGCCAATCAAGAGCAGCCATTTCGGACATTTCTAATATTTTGTGTGATATGTAAAAGCCCCACTACTGTACCTGTTGGATTTCCCTGTGGGTGGGCACGGCTCGCTCTACGTAGCCTTGCTGCGTGAACCAGGAGCAGATAGTCTGCAGCGAGCGATAAGCGCAGCCCCAGCCGTTGTCATCCATATGATCCTGCATGTAGTGGTGATAGCTGTAGATCCCCTGCACCAAGTACACCTTGAGGAAACACACACACAAAATAAAAAGTATGTTTCAATATCTTCTAAAGGGGAATTAGAATATAACAGATTTTAATTTGTAATGTGCCTCACCTTTCCGTTCTCCAGCGTGGGATGTGTGAGGGCCATATGAGGATTTCGGAGGTAGCCATCTTTGTAGTGCTCATTGGAAAAGTGGAAGGCATTCACTCTCCTAAAATAAGGCCTGTCATCTGGTAGCTCAAACTGCTGATGCAGTTCCTATTATGACAGAGATAGTGTCCAATGAAAAACACTCTAAATTGCAGCCCTATGCTAGAGGGGTTAAGATTATAACAAGTCAGGGAAACAACATGTAGCCTGTTTGTTATGATTTGAGAGAATCTCAGTCTTACCTTACGATGTTTCTCTAGTTGGCTGTCAGGCACTCCTGCAGGGTAAACCACAGTCACCAGTCCTTTGGGTTCTGGAAGGAGGAAGTGGAGCGGCTCAGGTACCAGCAGTGTGGCCCCCTTCATGTGTTGCAGGGTCACTTTCTCCATCTCACACAGCTGATGAGTCAGCGCCTCCAACAGGCGCTCAAAGGCACTGCAACACAGAAAGAAACGTTAACAGTGGGCAAAACTATTCATGGTGTGTCAAGTGTCTGACTGTTTTAGAATGTTTTAACTGATATCAAATCAAATGCTTTTGAAATAATGCATACTCTTTGATTGTGTCGCTGCAGGTGGTACGGACCACACAGTCCATGGGAAGAATTGTAGACAGGAAGTGGGATTTCTGCAGTGTTCTCCTGAGGATTGGTGCTGAAAGAGGGCCTGTCTTTGTCGCCTCCATCATCAGGCGAAGGTTAATGACACTCTGAATGATAAGGTTGAAGTTACATTCAAGCACACACAGACACCATACAAGTAAGGCATAGTTGAATTACCTACAAAAAATGTATCAGCAAATATCTTCATTATCAATTATTTGTATGCAAGTATTTCTGCAAACTGTGACAAGGCACTTTTCCATGCATTTAACAAACCGTCCAATAGTCAAATTAATTGGGAGAAAAACAAAATATATTCATATCTACAAAATATTGCTAATATGGTGGTTAGCATGGGGAGAATAGTCAAGAGGGAGTCACGGTTTCCCCCCCATTAGCACAGTTTACAGCATGCTGCAAAATACAACTCCTAACTAGCTTCATAAACTAAACAGTTACAATTCATACCGCTGCTGAACTTTTTTTGTTTTTCTTTTTAGAGGATCTCTTCCCAGCACTCTCTTGTTCATCAGTCCTGAAATAAATAAAAACATTAAACCACAATTCAGCCAAATAAAAAAACATTTTCAGATAAGAACGAATTGTTTTTCTTTTTTTTTAAACTAACTTACTGAATCCATTGATGTATATCTTCACATAGTGTGTTCGGAGTTATTTCTTCAGGTGTGATATATACCCCTTTGTTTGGCCAAATAATAAGAGAACTGTCGCAGACTGTCAGGACACAGGATTCAGATTTCACCTGAGAGTGAAGCGTCGCAAATGTTCTCGAGATGACTTTCTGAATGAGCAGTGCTGAAAGAAGAATTACAGAGAAAATATTAGCCTTTTCCAAATACTACACGGTTCATACATTCCACTTTGCTGGTAATTTAATATTCTTCTTGCCATATGTATTTTTATATATGGGTTATATCCTTTTGTTTATTTTAAAACAAATGTAAAGCTTTGTGTGAGATCATATTTTTTGAAAGTTTATTTATCTTTATCTTATAAGCACCATTAGAATCTTACCCTCAACATTTTTACTTGGTATAATATCAGTTCTAGTGAATTGCCTCCACCATATTACAAAAAATACAACCTGTATGTAACAGGGCCATAGAAACCACTGAGGACAGGAAAGTTTGTGGTTTTGTTTCAGGTATATTTAACATCTTCTACATTTACATATATATTATTTAAAGGCATGGTTGTGGTCCTGCTTGTTGTGCTCTGAAAGTTACATATTGGGTTGTGGAGACTTGGAGACAAATGATACAGCAGTGGGGAAGGACACAGCAACAGCAGGTGATTAAGACAGAGACTGAATTGATGCTATTCAAACTTTGCTTAGGATCACATTAACCCTTATTATATCCAAATTTGAGATCCACTACGTTCAAAAAAAGTGCAGTAAAATCTCCATGAACATACCATCTGTGCTGTCCAGCTGGCATTTAAACTCCAGCGGCCCTCTGACACGAAGGATAGTGTCTGAGTCGGAGGAATCTGTAACAACCTGAGGTTAAATCAAGAGAAGTAAATAACCTGAGAGAACTAGCTGACACAGTTAACAACATGTTAGTGTTTGACTGCCAACCACGAAGCGAGGGGCCACTGCCAGCTGACAGAAATATATTACAGAATAAAAAAGCAGAAGAACAGATGAACAGAAGGGAATATGAACGATTAGTTGTCAGCTTAAATTTGTAAACTGACCATTTTGTTCGAGTTGAATCCAGCTCTGTAAAATCAAGAAGATATCTCTCTACGCTCTGGGGGCAGACATGTCTGTTTGTAGGAAGTGTACGACGTGTCTCTGACTGCTGCATTCTATTGGTCAACACTGACCCCGCCCACTTGTGGTGCATTCATGGCAACTCGTAATTGGAAGATTTTGCAGGATAACAGTGGTTCCAAACCTTTTATAAGTGATTTATTTCCTTCTCAGATTATTACAGAATAATGATTTGTTGTGTCTTGAAGAGGTGAAAGTATGTGAAAAATTACATTATATCTGAAATAAACAAAAAACATAACTAAACATAATTGTGTGTAATGGGCTGGAAACAATGAAGTATAAAAGTTAACTCATTATGAAGAAATAATAGGCTCTGCCTTTGTAACATAATAATACAAATAATACAAATAAAAATTAATAATAATAATAATAGTAATACATTCAATTTATGTAGCGCTTTTCTAGATACCCAAAGTTGCTTTATAGAGCAATAAACAAACAAAGAGGAGATGTAGTGAATTGGAGACGTTACAATCTAAATTGTAATGTTGTAGCTGGCTGCAGTTGAGGTTATTATAGTCATTTTATAGTCAGCTGATGTAATTTACTGTATAACAATGAAATACATATCACTGGTAACATTATTCATTTAAAGGAGTACAAATATTTCCCTGAAATGTATATATCTTGTTGAATTTTAAATATTTCAAATTGAGAATTGGTTGAGTTTGCATTCTGGACAAATTCATAATAAACATATAACTTTAAAAAAAACTCCTACTGGCACTACAACTGTAATAATGCTCAAATGTATTGTACTGGTCACTGCTAATGAGTGCACTATAAAGCACTGATGCTGTTTTACATTAGTATATGCGTCTCTGATGCTGGTTCTGCTTTACTAGGCTTGAGTCAGGCATACTATATCTGATTATCCCAGCATCAGTGCCCATGTCACCCGTCTTATGCAACATTTACAAAACATACGTCACATTTTTTATATTTTTTTAGTCTTCGTTACGCTTTTTGCATAGTATTTAAAACTTCATTTTTTTGTTCAAGGATAAAGACTGCAATGAGGGTGCAAAGAGTCACAAGTAATACATTAAACCCTATTTGTATGTGTATTGCTTGTTTGCCTCAGGATATTACATGGCAGCCATGCGTGCTAGGCCAGGCGGACACAGGGTCAGAGATGCTTTATGCATGTCAAAGTGGGAGCTTTCCTATTATGTATTGCAGCAAATATGACCCTAAACAAATCTTTAAACATAACAACAACAACACAAAATAAACTAACTCCTTTCTCCCAAAAGAGAGACCATTTTCTGAGTATATTAATTATTGGTAATCTATGTGAATATATGTAAACAAAAGGACCTGCTGACTCACATTATAGCGCCCTTACACTTAATGTGTCTATTAAGTGTTATTCATCAATATTACCGAGGAAAATAAAGCACATGCCTGGAAGCAGAGTTGAAAAAGGGGTCAGGTTTAGGTCAGTCGTGTTTTGTTCTAACATTGCCTCTGGATAAAATCATCAAGGGTTTGTTAGGAGTACTGGGAGCTGAAATGGCCCATCTCATACACACATTCAGACATCAAATGTCTAAATGCAGCAAATTGTAAGTAAAATGTGAATAAACACACTTAACAGGCCTAGTGCACAGGGCTGGTTTGCAGTGTTAGCACTTATGAGCATGCAGACAAAGTGGATGCTTTGTAGAGCACCTCTTTGAAAAGTAAAATTTAGGGAAACAACACTTATTTTTAAATTGTGGAAAAGAAAACACAATGTGTTCATGAGATTGATGGACCAATTTTTGAGTGCTCAAAAATGTCAGCTGTTAAATCCACCACATAAATGCAACATTACAAAATATTAACTGCAAGTATCTTTTAAAGATCTTTATGTGCCTAGATAGTTGCATTGTGACTGAAACTAAGTTTATTCTTCTTGTTATACTGAGTACATCCAAAGTATATACATTGTAACCATCTGAAGTTATGACCGTTGAGTTCCTGTGGAGTTACTGGGCTTGATTTGTGATAAGATTAGCTATCTCTCTCTGCATATCATAAACACTGTTAGGATCTGTGGACGAGTGTGTGCAGAGACTAAATATATGGCAGGCACTATGGAAACTCACATAACAAACGAAGATTCATCATATGGAAATAAGTAATGTTTTTTGTATTCATTTGGTTATGTAATAGGAGTAATTATGTAATGGGAGGTGTGTGGCGCAGTGGACTAGTGCGTTGGTGTTCGGATCAGGGCAGCACAGGTTCAAAACTCACTGCAGTCAGCATGTCGTTGTGTCCCTGAGACACTTCACCCCAAATTGCTCCTGTGGGGATTGCCCACAGTATTGAGTATGTAAGTTGCTTTGGATAAAAGCATCTAACAAGTAGCATGTAATGTAATGTAATATCCAAGATGGAAATGTTTGCTTTATAATAACAATGTGTTTTGTATTTCATACAGAATAATTATTTACATTTTAAAATAAAAAAAAGTAAAGTTTTCTCGACAAACTGCAGGATAATTTACTGAAAAAAGAGGAACAGGCTTGATCAAAATGGAAATATCTTGATAAAACATACTGTACACGTCTTTTGCCTCTGGATATCGAATGACTTCAGCTCCACGTCATTGCTCTCCAACTGAGGCATGAGCTCTGGGTGGTGGTCCGCAGTCATCCCTCATCGCTAACCAATTCACCCCAGGCCAACATCTGAGAGAAAAATAAATGGAAAAATTAGAAAAGAAAATTGAAAAAAAAACAGTCCAACACTCGGCCCGATTCCTTTGGTCTAACTAAAATAAATAGATATTTTAAAATGACATAAACTAGCTGATATCAATATATATTAATTCAGCTGAAAACACTTTTCTACCTTAAGACATTGATTTTGAATGCATTGCGTTTAGTTTTAATTTTAATTTTAGTATTGCATATTTTAATTACATATCTTAGATCTATACTTCTCTTATTTACTAATTATTTTTAAAATGGCTTCCAAGTATTGAAAGCCCGGTTAAAATGCCTCCTAATTTCCCACATATCAACGTTTAAATTGCAATATCACAGGCAAGCTAAACAAACATCAACATTTCAAGGAAACCGTGTGCATGACTTTAGCTCATGCCTCAGAATCTATTGTCTTCTCCTTTGCCTCTCCTCTACACCTCTGAGAAAACACAACAATGAGACACATAGCAACACAAAGCCAACATATTTTGTTTATTATTGTTTATTTGCCATGAAAACTTAATTCACTGTCCCATCTTGGTATAAAGCAGAAGGTCCATGTTGCAGATGATCATCACAAAGAGGTTTTATCATCCCAGTGCAGCTGGTGCCATCTCCTCTGGGTCCTGATGAGAGGCGGCAGCAGCAGCTGCACTCTGAGGAACAGATGTGTCGCTCAGACCTGAGGATTGCCTGCAAGATCTTCTTCAAGACGTCACTGAAGATTCATTTGCATTAGCCTCTAGAATGGAAAAGCACTGTCAGAGGAATCTCAAGTCCATACGTCACGCAGAATCATTTGTTTGACATGTTGTTATCATTATTTAATTTTCAAATTCATTTTTTTTAACTCAAACATACAATTGATCTTGTCATGACTAGGAACATAAAAACCAAACGCTGACTCATCTAATTTACTTTCGTCTCCATTATCTATTACTTTCAAAAGAATGTGACGTCTTTAATTTGGCTTAAGAAATAGGAGCATGTGAGCATTTTTAACAACCTCAATACTGTCAGACCTTAAAGCTACAGCTCAGTCATGATGATTTACCCCTAAATCCCTCCTTTAAAGTCTAATAAGAATGAACAGTACATGCATTTGTATTATATTATGATCATAAAATAAATGTTGACAGACTCTTTTGTCACGCCTCTCTTCAAGGGGCATTAATTATTACGAGATGGGACAAGTCATATTTACATAATTGTGATTCATATGACCCATTTGCACTGATGTATAACAGACTTTTTAAAACTATGTTAAAGAAATAGAGTGTAAAACTTCTTCAAGGTACCAAATATTTCTGTTTAATGGACAGATTTTGCTATTTGCTTACCAATAAACCAACCTTTTTCGGACTTCAATGTAATGACCACATATTATGCACCATAAAAGCTTTCCTGATAAAATAAGGTGCATATTTCAACATGGTCGTTTAATGAATTGCATTGAGATCGGTCCCTCTGTAGCCGAATTAAAGCATTCCCCCTTTAATCTCCAACCTATAAAACGTTTGTCATGTGGTAGAAACATCCCGGCCTTGTTGTTGAAAGAGTGCCAATATAAGCAGTATGCTTGTCCAGAGTTATCCTGTGAGAAATGAGAAGGCTCCTGAATGACAAAGTTGTTCATTATTTAAGCTCTAAAATTGATTTATTATGTTAGAAGAAAATGCTTTTTTTCCGACCAAACAAGGCCAACAAGCGGTGCTGCAGCCTCATCGTGGCCAATGATATCTATTTTCGACATGTAATGTATTAATGATCATCAAACATGTATAATCAGCACTGGAAGATTCCTTAAAAAACAAATGGGATTCACTGTTGCACACACAGATAACACCACACTGACACTAACAGCTGTTGCTGTAGATTTGGATATGTTGTGTTAGTAGAAGCTGATGTAGCCTCCAGCCAAACATTTTTTTAACGCTTCAACCCCAGACTTTTTTCCTCTTTCAAAATGTGTCTTCAGACTCAACCGAAGTGACTTCACTTAAGACAATTTATCAGACTTTGCACAGATCCCTCTGGAGCCACAAAGGCGTCATACTACTTTATCCACACATGCGGTAGTACTCCCCAAGTCCTTCAAACAGATGTGTCAATTGGTTAAATTGACCTAACTAAATTTAAAGGAAATGTACCCAAGCAATTGCTGATACTTATACTTCTTGAATGTGAAGATGTGTCGCTTTTCATGCATGCTCAATATGTCGTCTTCATAGGAATGGGAGCATTTATTGACCATTCTGCATATGAATAAAATAGGTTGTTAGTTCCAGACCTATACAATAACAACAACATTGGCATTGATGACCTGGTCCAGGGGATTAAACAAAGAGTTAGGGGCCTTTTTTATTGAGCTTTAATAAAAGCACAAATCGGCGGAGGAACCTTGCTATTTATAATCTGACACATCAGACAGGCGTTCATTCACAGGTATTTCACAGGGGAAATACAGCAGGGGAGTTCCAATACAGGGATCTGTGTGTATTGTGTGTATGTCTGTGTGCAGGAAACACATTCACAAATTAAGTATTTTGGTTAGAGTATTAAATAAAATGGTAGCAAATAGGTACAACTATTAGTATTCTGCAAGATTATTATAGTGGCAATATCACCATAAAGACCACCATTTGTGGATACCATAGAAATATGATTATTCGTTTATGCTATGGTACGATGAATGCCACTCTATAGACTGATCTAAATAAAAAAAGTGCACTGCATGAGAGTAAGTCGCCTGGAAATAATGTCTCATTGCTGATAGGTTGTTCAGCTACAGTACACCAGCCCCACTTGCGCATGGATTGGCCTAGTGCTCTTTTTTCTCCAGTTTCTCATTGGCTTTTGGTAATGATAGTTCCCTGCCATCATTTGCTCGTGCAGTTCTCAATTAATATTGTATGTGGTCTCTGGCTTTGGTGCTGATCATTTGAATGAGCGCTTCGCGATGTGGAAGGTATCTTGGATGAGCACGCACACCAGATGATGGAATTTCTCTCAGAGACCGCAGCTGCTCGACCAGCACTGTCTCCCTCCGATATGAGATAAGAAGCGCAGAGACAGCAGACCATACAGCGGGAAAGATGTTCTGCACGAAGCTGAAAGAGCTGAAGATATCAGGAGAGTGTCCGTTCTCCAGCAGCAGCAGCGGCGCCCAAAATAATGAGCTCGGAGACTTTGAGGAGCGCTCAACTGACGCCGCGGATTTAATGCCTATTTCTAAAGACGTGCACGGAAAGATAGGTGAGGACCTACCTAAACAGAAGACAAGCAGAGCCAAAGTTAACCTGCAAACACTTGGGCAGAGCATACGAAAATTGGCATGTCCCGAGGTGAGTTATCAAAAATAATGTATTCATATTCACATCATGCAACTTCTACTGTAGGCTATATGTTACATTTGTGATGGAGAAAAAAAGCATCTTGACTCCTGTTGTGTGTTTTCGCATTTCTGCCTTAACGCACAGACATCATGAATACTTAGTTAAAGATGTGTTTTTTATATGGCTTCAGAAAATACATTAATATATATTTTGTTGGCGTTCCTGAAATTAAAGCTGCTGTTTAGCCTTGCCAGACGATGACCTTTAACTCGCTTAACACTTTGTCATACAGTTTCAAAGGCTGCACACTGCCCTCCAACGAATGATGAGACTATCAGATCAAACCAGGGACTCTCAAAGGTAACACATGTGTTTTTAAATACAGCTGCCATCAATAACAACACACTGATCCTCCAACAATTAACACAACTAGTTCTGTAAATTACAGGCATTTACTAACAGATTAAAATGACAACCATGGTAAGGTTTCTCAGCGTTCAGCCCTCTGTTTACCAAACACAATCCATTACTAATCTTCCTTGCTGCTCTCACTAGTCTGATATTTATGATGATAACAACAATAAGGTGTGGTGCAGGCTGCTATGGATACCAGGAGGTAGATAGACATCCCTTACAAATCTGCTGAAAGACACATTATTATCCAAAATGGCAAGGAGATAATGACTCATTCTCCAAAAATGTCAAGCATTAGTTGGTTGCAGCTTTTCAAATGTGAGAATGTGCAGCTTGTTTGGGGGGCATACATGATAGTAAACAGAATATCTTTGTGTTCTGGTCTGTTAGTCAGACAAGCAACATAAGACATTTAAAGCTTTAGGAAAATGTAACTGCCCTCTTTCACTTTTTTTTCTAGGCAAAGCAATGAGTGGATTAGTTAAAGAAATGTTAAGCACTGTATCTGATAATGAAAAACAATTGGTAGTTGTAACTCTATTATAGCGTATTGATTAAAAAATGAATGGTCCAGTGATTAGTTTGTGTACGTCTGAGTTTAATCATTTTCATCTCGCAGTCCCATAATTTGCTGCACAGACTATCAGAGCTGCAGTGATGAACCAGAGCACTTAGTGGAAATGATGAACATGTACTCAGCCAAAACAGGTAATTAAAGATCAAACTCTCAGCCTGTAAAAAATATATAAATGAAATGTTTTAATTCTGTGTATTCAGGGCATCACAACTTCACCTATTTCCCTTCATCTGTCCTGACAGCAATCCAGATGGAAGCTTTAAAAGTTGCTCTTGGCGAGGAGCTCTTCAACATGTGTTATGAGGAGGACGGACACATTTTGGGGGTGGTGGGGGGGGCTCTCCACGACTTCCTCAACAGCTTCAATGTCTTGTTGAAACAGAGCAGCTCGACGCCCAACCCGGACAGAAAGGATTGTGTAAACGAACCTTCGGTGCTGTGCTTAGACAAGGATGCAGGTCTGCTTACTGTCTATTTCTTCAACCCCCGCCCAACTACTGAGCTCTTCTTCCCTGGAGTCATCAAAGCTGCTGCCCGCCTGCTGTATCACACCACTGTGGAAGTGTTGATGGACCCCCCCGGTGTTAAAGACAGCATATTGCAGTCAAGCCCGCAGCCTAGTCTTCTGTACACAGTTGTGGTTAAGGATGCTAAAGATCTGAGCCCCAGTCCGCTGCGGGCTACCTCAGCTGGGACCCTTCCTACCTCTCTGTTCTCCACCATCTTCCCTTTCCATCTGATCCTGGACCAAGACCTTGTTTTGATACAAATAGGACACGGGCTCAGGAAGAGACTGTTCAGGAAAGATTGTCCGAGACGGTCGTCTACCTTCCAAGAACACTTATCTATTGTCTCTCCCCAAATCAAATGTACCTTTCAAGGAATTCTGACCATGCTAAACACACAGTTCCTCATTCGGATCACACATGGATACTCCATCGCAGATAAAACAGGGAAGGTATGTTGACATGTCTGGGAGATATAGCTTGAAAAGTTACGTCACTGACTAATGAGGCAAAAAAGGTCTTCGGGTCATTGTCTTCTTGGTAAGATAGGGAGAACAATCATGCTATTTATAAGCAGTCAGGCTTATTAGTGTTGTGTACTCTGGTGCGCCCGAGGTAGAGATCAACATTAGACCCCAACGGAGATCAGAAGCAAATGTCAAACCATTTTATCCATCAAAGGCACAGCCATGCTTGTGCTATTTATGTGAGGTTCCAGAGCATTGGTCGCCATGACAAGAATTTTATATCAGTGAGTAAACATAGCAGTGGTTTAAAGACATTCAGCCAGAGATGATTACTACAGTATAACTACTGTATAACACTACTCGTCTCATGGTCATTTTACTGTTAGTGGCTAGGTAAAAAATTGTTCTGTTAATTGTTCTGTTACCAAAAAATATATATCTATCTATATATAGATAGATATATATATACCTATATTGATAGATATATTGTTGTTACAACAGTCAAGAAGACATGTCTAAACTTAGAAATAACAGCTGAGGTCCAGAGATATTGTTTGATCTTTGGTCATGGAAAAGTAAATGTAAACAGAGGCAAAAGTACTGTTGATGCTGCTATTAGTAATAAACCAAAGTTCTAGATAAATTAAAACGTTGACCTCATGATGGCAGTAGATAAAGGGTCAGGAGATCAGTTCACAAAGATGTATTCTATATCGGTGAAAAGGGAAACACATCAAGATCAGATGACGAGGCCTGTAACTTTGATCCAAAAACGTCAACCTCATTGTGACTCC